TTTGGGACAGTTGGGTTGGAGTTGGGTATCTAGCTAATATTGCCATTTGCGGAAGAATGTTTTAATAGTAAGTCATGTTAGGTAAATTTTGAAATAAAAATTTTGTCCCAGGATTTGATTTATATTTAATCATCTTAGAAAACACTGAAATAAAAAGTTTTCACTGATTTTTCAGAAAAAGACTCTGTTGAGGTCTTTTCTGAAGTAACTTGAAGGTCTTTTGATATTTAGCTTTACAGCATTTTGTATCAGCCTGAAAAATTACCAGTTGAAAAGTATGTTTCCACTGGTAGTTATGTTTACTTGATATCTAGGTTGTGCTACATGGAAATAGATTTTGTGCATTCAGTAGAGTCCTGTTGGATGATTTAAATAAAGCTGCTATTTGTGTCACTCTGTTTCTGTCTATTTGTGTGGAATCTCATAAGCTTTATTAAGCCTGTTCTAGGTTCGCTTATACTATTATCGTGGTTTAACCCCAGCCAGCAACTAAGCCCCACCCAGCCGCTCGCTCACTCCCCGCTCCTGCAGTGGGATGGAGGGAGAATCGGAAGAGTAAAAGTGAGAAGGTGACAGTTTAACAGTGAAAGCAAAAGCTGCGCACATAAGCAAAGCAAAACAAGGAATTCATTCACCACTCTCCGTGGGCAGGCGGGTGCTCAGCCATCCCCAGGGCTTCATCACACATAAGAGTTACTTGGGAAGACAAACACCATCACTCTGAATGTTCCCCTTTTCTTCTGACCCCCAGCTTTATATGCTGAGCATGACATCATACAGTATGGAATATCCCTTGGGTCAGTTGGGGTCAGCTGTCCCAGCTGTGTCCCCTCCCAACTCCTTGTGCACCCCCAGCCCACTCACTGATGGGGTGCAGTGAGAAGCTGAAAAGTCATTGGCTCTGTGTAAGCACTGCCCAGCAACAATGAAAACATCCCTGTGTCAATAACATTATTCTCATCCTAAATCCAAAACACAGCACTATACCAGCTACTCAGAAGAAAATTACCCCTATCCCAGCTGAAACCAGGACACTCTCTATGATAGAAACAGACAGCGTGATCCTTTTAACATACCTAAAATAACTGTTTTTGAGAGTCATGAGGTTTGAGTTCTGTTCTTTATGCCCCCTCAGATTTTCTGTTTGATTCTGGCTAAATAATTTAATCAGGTTTGGTATGTAAAAAATACACACAAATAAACAAGTAATCTTAACTTGTAGTTATCCAATAGCACTGCAGAAGTACTTTTAATAGAGATTTCTTTGACTTTTTACAAGGGCATGTAGTGATAGGACAAGGGGTAATGGCTTTAAACTGAAAGAGGGTAGACTTTTATTAGAGATAAGAAAGAAATTCTTCACTATGAAGGTGGTGAGGCACTCGAACTGGTCACCCATAGAGGCTGTGGCTGCCCCCTCCCTGGAAGGGTTCAAGGCCAGGTTGGATGCAGCTTTGAGCAACCTGATCTAGTGGAAGGTGTCCCTGCCCGAGGCAGGGGGGTTGGAACTAAATGATCTTTAAGGTACCTTCCAACCCAAATCATTCTATGAATGCTACACCATATTTGCCAATAATTGTGTCCTTTTATACTGAATTATTTTCCTACAGTGAACTAAGATGTATTATTTGGGTGTTTTGTTTTTGTTTGTTTTTTTTTTTTCCTCTTAGTGAGACAACAGTGTCAGAAGATCAGATTTCTTGCTTTAGAACTTAAAAAAATGAATCTGATTTTTTTTCTAAGTAAAACTTCAAGCTAAAAGTACTTTGGTTCTTGAAAAACATTGTATCTGTCCTGGTTAGAATCCTTTTTATCTTCAGATAGTGTTTAAGATTTCTTGGATTTTCATTAATAGCCCAAATACCTAGCTAGTTTTAATAGTTAATGTACTGCTGCGCTGTCTGGCAGTGATTGCTCAGCTGGTTGTTGTCACAGGATTTAGGAGATTATGATGTATAGATTTGTGTAAAATGCATCTGTGGGTAAAAAAAGTATAAAACCTACATGAAATTTAAATCTTAAATAAACTGTATCTTTTCACTATCATACATTGTCATTCACATTAGCAGTCTTTATCCCATGTACGGGGATGATGTACTTGTAGATTAGCATCTCTTTCACAAATTTTGAATAGATGAGTATATATTGTGTAGTTCTATTGATTCGTCCAAGATTTCACAAATATTCATTAAAATGAAAGAAAGCAAGCACAATATACAAACAAATCTGGAATCATAATTATCTAACAGACCAGCAAAAATCTGTTTCCATAGAGAAATTGCTTCTTACAAAAATAGAGATATTTTGTGGGGGAAATGTTGGCCACTCTTGTGGTTGCTTACTTTGGGATGCCAACTGGAAGTGGCTGTTAGTCAATATGATTGTACTAGGTGTGCTTTTCTTGTACTTTCTGTTGTTAATATCCTGCTTCTGCTCTACCACATGCAAGAAATGCACCCTTTGTAATGCAGATTTGAAGGAATCATGGAAATGTCAAAGTTAAAAAATTGTTAACAGCAATTTTTGTTGAAATGTAAAAAAAAATATATATTGTGAGGTCATGGAAAGGTGCTTGAGGTAAAAAAAAAGAGTTTGTTAATATGGGTAATGTGTCAGGATTACACAGTTCATCAGCTTTTTATTTTTTTAAAAAAATAATCTGATTCTTCCACTTAGATGGAAAAATTTGATTTGCCTTTGGCTGTAATTCAGTCTGTTCTATTCACAGATAGATTCAGTTGCATGTTATGTTACTCCATTAAAAACATTTCACAAATAGTGACAGCCAGTATTAATAACAGCTAAGTCTAGCATTTTCAAAGAAATTTTTTAAAAAAAGGGAAATAGTTTTTTCTTGTGCATCAGCATTTTCTATTAGAAAATAAATAATTGGGGCAATTTTATATTTAGTGAGAAAATTGTTATTGGCTGAGTAACTTACTTTTTCAAATGCTTTTGGCCATCATAATGCTGCTGTGGCCCATCTCTGTAGCAGTTCATTCTAGTTCACCTGGATTTATATATTTATTTTCTTGGGAAGAATGATCCTGTCTGTAGTGAAATACGTGTTTTCCCTTCAAATCTGTTATCTGATGAAATTAAAATAAAAGCTTTTTAAGAGGTCCATTATAAAATCTCTGAAAGACTTAAGACTCAAACTGAAATTTGTCCTCTGCAGGCAGGCAGATTAATAAGACTAATTGTGGGTGGATGGGCATTCTATCTCTTTTTGCCAAGACCCTGCTGGTCATGTTTCTTCCTCTCCATATGTTGCCCTGTTTTTATAAGCACTGTAGTGATGTTTGGGGCTTCAGCTGACTGCAGGGTGTCATTGTCAAGAGTGCTATACATACACTGAGCAACAGTCTTGCTCTTGACAGTATTAAAATAGGTGAGGGGAGTGAAAACCGTAAGAAATCATGTGTTGTTCTCACCTTAGAAGTAGGGAATTTATCCACCAAGAGTACAGTACCTCTCACAGTCATGGAGTCTGAGGAAAAGCCAGTCCACCATAAGAGCAAAGCTTCCCATGATCTCGGTAGTACCACAGTCATAAGGCCAGCCTTGTGTCGTGTAGTGGAACCAAGCTCTCTAGCTTAATTTTTGTATTCAGACTTTTCAAACATTTTATGTCTTTTGCAAAATCTACAAGGCCTGGTAGTTCGTGCAATGGGAATATTGTTGTGGCTCTAGGGATGGTTTTGTTTGAACTGTAGCCAGTTTCTTGAAAAGATCTACGATTTTGTGTGCCCAGCTGTATATTTTAAGGCCAGTGACCGACTTGGACTAAAACCATAAAAATGCTTGTATCTAAGCAGCATAAAAATCATAATTATTGATGATAACTAATTTGAGGATTTCCAGAAGCATTTCTGGTAAAGAAACATTACTAATTTCTTCAGTAGCAAGGTAAAACAGTGGTTTTTAAATTTAGATAGTATTAATGCATGCTTTCTGTAGAAATCATGGGTGTTTGGATAAAGCTTCTAGTGATTTCCTTTGTCTCTTGAATGAACACAGGCATAATCATGAATTATAATTAATTTTCTCTATTTGTAAACAAATGAGCTGGAGAATCAATTTTTGCTGATACAAAGCTAAATATTCAGGGTTAATGAGAGAATTATGATTAAAAAAATTGAAAAGCATGGTTGTCTTGTCAGCTGATGCGGTTTTCCATGTCTTTGTAAGCCATTAGGAACTGAGTTGGTAAGAAGGGTATACATAAATGCTGAAGATGTTCAGGGGTAGAAGGCAGTTTCTGATTGGAGGTGAAGAGAGAGGCTCAGGTGATTCATGGCTCTTAAGCTGGATTCCCTTCATTGCTCTGTGAAGACCTTTGCATGTTTGCGCGTGCAGGTGTGCGTATTATGTGCTCTGAGGTTAAAGCAGACGTTGCCTTTAATATGTGTAATAGTTACAGCAGAATGAATTTATCTTCTGAAAGTAACAGTGCAGGTTTTGCACGTGATGAGTATAGGTCTTAAATTTTCCTTTCATTGAAAGAATCTGAAGATAAACTGCATTTTAAATACTGTTTACTTTTCAGCACACCAAAAGCATGTCTAGGTACTTCTTCTCAGCTGGATTGCAGGGAAAATTTTTTTCATCATTCTGGTCTTCTAAGTCCGTTTTTAAACGGACCTTAAGTTCCTACTTTAGTTAAGTGTTATTTTAGTATTTTACCCCATCTCCTTTTAATCAAATCTGAGTTTAAAAAATAATGGAAGTGTTAGTAATAAAATTAAGTTGTTGTTTTTTTGGTTTTTGTTTGTTTTTTTTTTTTAATTTTCTAGTGACAGAACAATAGTAAGTTCTGATTCCTGTTGTGCATCAGTCTCATCTCTGTCTATAATGTGCTTACTTCATTTGACATGAATGTCTTCCTATAATACTTTGTATTTCATACAGCTAAGAAACAGTTTTCTACTAAGTGCCAGTGGATTAACTGTGTCCCATAACTGATTCAACAATGCTGAATCAATTTCTCTTTGTTTCAGGTGACCAGACTTTAAGAATTTGGGATGTGAAAGCCCCAGGAGTTAAACTTGTGATACCTGCCCACCAGGCTGAGATCTTGAGCTGTGACTGGTGCAAATATGATGAGGTATAAACCTGCTGGTCCAAGTGTTTTCTTAATTGAACCACTCTCATTAAATACCATGGGGTTTTAATTGCAGTGTTGATGCATCCTCTTATAAAAATGTCTAGTTGCTTTGTTGCTCTCATTTGCTGCTACATCTTCAGAAAAGCGTTGTTCCGTCAGATAGATGGCCCAAGTAGATCAGAGTTTTTTCTTATTCTTTTGTATAGCGGACAGAATAGTCCATAGTGGAGAAACAGTTTGTATTTCTCTGTTCTCTTGAATTTATACACCGGAGATGTCATTTATGATTTATTCACCTGTATTGTTTGATTTATCTACCTTTTGTAGCCAACATATGCATCACTGCAATTTAATAATTAAATTGTCCTGATATATCGTATGTTTTATCAACTCATCAGAACTTGCTGGTAACTGGTGCAGTTGACTGTAGCTTGAAAGGCTGGGATTTGCGGAACATCCGGCAACCAGTGTTCATCTTGCTTGGTCATACCTATGCTATCAGAAGAGTAAAAGTAAGTTGTATTTGACTCCCCATTGACCACCATTGAATTGTGATATAAATTTTTCTGGAAAGCAGTAATATTTTATATTCTGTCATAACTATGGAAAAAAAAAATAGGTGTTAGAGATTTTGGATACTACAGTGACTTGTTCTTGGGAACCTTCAGTTTAGCATTGTAAAACATTTTGTTGTTTAGCTTTAGCAGATTGGTGGGATTTCAAAGTAAATGACATCTTCAAAGTCAGTATATTTCCATGAGGAGTGCTTGAGAGCTTGAGAGAGGGTTGGGAGCTTTACTTCAGCTAAGCTATATGGGAAATTTGAGATAGAGAAAGTACCTTCCCTTATTTGTTTTTTAAATGGTGCTGTGCCTTTTTCTTTCCATATAAAAGGTCAATATTCACATAAGCAAAGGTACAGAATTCGTTGTGAATGGGGTTTTTTGTGTATACAAAGGAAATGTTAATATGATTGAAGAGATTTTGAAATGTTATGCATGAAAGGCAACAGATGACTATACTGGATCTGTGTACTACTAGATTACCCACCCATGGAAACTTGTTCTAGATGCACAATGACATTTTTTTCATATTAGTCAGTGCTTATTATTTTTTTATATTAGTCAGATAATACCTATCATTGTAAAGCCTTTCAGGAAAACAGGCATGTTTATTAATATTTTCTAGGAAGTCTGAACTGGCAGAAAAAAAATGTCCTGGGTCAGTATTTGGCTTCACATGCCCTTGGAATTTTTGATGTGTTTTTGACAACTTTAAAAGTTACTGTGCTTAGATTGTAATTTGTCAGAAAAGGGTGTGATACAGGGAGTGGTTCCACATCACAAATCCTGTTTGTGGCCAGACAGCCTGAGAAGTTCCTGCTCCTCCTTATCCCAGCTGCCCTTGCCTGCTATCCCCACTGGCCATGGCTGACCAGTCCCATTTTCTTATTTGATTCCTGCATGACCATGCTCTAAACTGGCTCTGTGAAATGTTCTTCATAGCAGAACATTTAGCAGTGGTGTTTGAGTTTGTTTGGTTTTTTCTTGTTTTTTAAACAAGATAATTTTGTATCCTTATTGCTGCAGTTCTTAGACCTGTCTGCAGGAGTCTGTAGAAGAGTGTGTTCTATAAAATGCCCTGCAGGAGAGGGGGAAATTACGAAGTGATGTTATACTGCCTTCTGTTTTTCAACTTATCTCCAATTTTCCCAATTCTGTAAATAATTTCAAAATTTTAGGACATGAAATTGATGACAGTAATGTATCTTACATTCTCTGCAGTATGGCACAAATTTTTCTCTCTGAAAATAATAAACTGGTCACATAGCTTTTCTGAAACTTGTTTCATATAGTAAGATGATACTCAGCTTGTCAGCTAAAGGCAGAATTTAATGACTGTTTATATGACTGTCTTAAAAATGCCTAACATTACAGAAGGGTTGATTGGCACTGTTGCAATGATATCAAACCAAACCAGGATGTCACAGAGTCTTCCTTGTAATTACAAGCATGGCGGGGAAATTTGTTGTAGTCTGTTTTGATGCAGCATGATGTGGTACCTAACAAGACAGTTTAAAAAACTTTAGTGACTTTCTACTTACAATAAGTCTATATATGCTCACAATGTTTTTACTTTAAAAGTTGTTCTATTTTGTTTTCTTGCAGTTTTCACCGTTCCATGCAACCTTATTGGCCTCTTGCTCCTATGATTTTACGGTGAGGTACAGTATTTTTTTTTTATTGGATAAAAGTGGAAAGATAATCTATTTTAATGTGGCTTGCAATAGAAAACAGTTCTAGAGTGTACATACTGAAGTGCAGCTAATGTTGCTATTGGATGTTTTCTCTTCATAGACTGTGTTAAAAATGCATGGGTCCTTCACTTAAAAGCTAGCTCAGTCACTCTTCTGAATGATATCTGCTTTGACAGGTTCTTTCTGTAATCCTTTTCACATAGTTCTGCTGAACATAGTTGCGCCCGGCTGTGATAGTGTCCAATAAGAAGGTAATAACCTTTTAAATTAATATAGGTGGGTGACTTTGTATGTTTCTGTGATGTATTTTTATTTAAGCTTTTTATTAATGAAGTTTAAGTTTTTGTCCTATCAGTATCTGAGGAACCTTTAGTACTGTTCCACAGCATGTATGCTGAAGTTCTTTAGACGGTACTTCTGCGAGTTCCCCTGGCTGCCCAGTATATCTGATACTGCTGAGGATTTTATAGTACAGCTGATTTAAAAGTCCTAAAGAAGTTTGACTTCATTTTAGGACTTCTCTAAGATACAGCAACATAAGTCAATGCAGTATGGAAGTACATTCCTGAGTATTTCAATCACATTCTTTGCTCTACATTTTAATTTTATAAGATGGACTGAATATAATAGGCAGTACATTTACAAATGGGAGAAGCCCTCTTGCCTCCACAAGTGACTGCAAAGTTATCCCACTCGCCCAAATCATCCCAATTAATGTCACTTCAGGTTGTGTCCTAAGTGGTCTGACACCAGACACAGAAAGGTTCTGTTTCCTAAGGGAAACCTTGCTAACTCTCAGTGCCTGTACACGTTTCTAAATCAAACTCTATATAGTCTTGTGCCATGACATCATATAAAGTTGCATTGTGAAGTTAGTGTGTTAAGCATTGTAGGAATTTTGTATATTTTTCAAAAATCTTACTGGAAGATCAGTATAGCTGAAATACTTTGTTTTCATCCAGGCTCTTGGTTGCAGCTCCCAGAATGCAGCTAACGGAAACATACAGGGGTGCAAAGGGGCTCCGAAGTTCTGCTGTAGATGGTGTGGGACTGCTTGAGACTGTACAGTGCAGTGACAGTGGTGGTGTTCCACGGGGAGACAGCTGCTGGAGCAGTTGTCCTTGGCACTTGTGAGTCCTCAACCTTGACAGCACTAGAGAGAGTGTTGCTTTCCAGGTCTGAGGCTACAGGGAGCACCTGGTGCCTCTTCCTGGGGCTGGGGGTGATGGTGGCCTCACCTGTGGGAGATGTGTTCTCTTTGAGGTACTGAGGTGAAGGAGCTGCAGGAGGGGATGATCAGACTGCATACCACCAAGGATAGTGAACACAAGACTGACAGGGTCTTCACAGGTACCCTTCAGAGGTGAGAGCCCAGATCCCACAGTGCAAGAAAGGAGGAACAGTTGGAGACTATACTTCAAGCAGTAGAGGATAAGGATAGAGATTCCCATGATGGGGGGAGGCTGGAAACTTGTGACTTCTGGTGACACAAGTTGGAGCTAGAGAACAGATTTATTGCCCTGGAAAAGGTTGAACAAGAACAGGCTCAGTTTGAGGAGGGTCAGAGTCAGCTGAGCCTGAATCAAGTGTCTGCACCAAAAGAAAAATGTGCATCATCACTGGAGACTCTCCTATTGTATTCCCTCTTGAAGTATCTGTCTGCCAACCTAACTTGATGTCTTGAAATGTTTTGTTGCCTCCCTTGGGTTGAGATCCAGGAGGTTGTGGAGAGACTGCTAGCATTTGCTCAGACTCAGAACACTGCCTTTTCCCTTTTAACCTGTGTGGGCTCCCATGTTACTGAAAGAGGTGACCATAAATATATCAAAAGTGGCTACATGGCACTGGGGACCCAGGTGGTGCTTTTTTTGATCCTGACAGTAAAAGAGAAACTTATTCTGTTAACTGTTGATGAGAACTTATCAGCAAGTTAACACTTCTCTGCATAGCTGGTATCATAAGCAGGGCTTTGTCTTTTATAGCCACAGGGTCCTCTTTTAAGTGATGGGGTGCTGCAAGGCAGGCATAAGATCCATCTGATGAAGTAGGACAAGAGCATCTTTGCCAACAGGCTTGCTAACCCAGTAAGGTGTGTTTTAAACTACAGATAATCAGGGCAGAGTGACCATACCTTAAAGAGAGGTGAAAGCATGAGGATCAGAGAAGTGTGGGGAATAACATAATGCCAGAGGCTTTTGCGCTTTCCCCTGTGAAAACAACCTGACACCTATATACAGCAGAGGAGACAAATGTGGCATTAGAAGTCCACGTGCAGCAGCAGAGCTGGGAGATTATAGAGAGATGGTGGGACCACTCACAAAACTGGAGTGCTGCAGTGGATAAAGGTTCCTCAGAAAAGAGAAGCTAGGAAGGTGAGGTGGTGATAATGATAAATCTGTGAGTTTAGCAGTCCAGTCACTCCCTTAAATTTTCAGTCCATACATGGGCTTGTTCCTTTGAAAAATTGTTTCTTTCTCTTGTAGATTAGAACTGGATGGTGAGCTTATATGATACTCCTGTCCCCCATAGGCATGTCCTTATTTCAGTAAAGGACGTAAATGCTGGAGAACCTTTCTTAAGTTTTATGTTAATTGTTATTCTTTCGCTTATTGTAGGAAGGGGTAGTGCCTTGCCAGTGATATCCACTGTCATGTGGTTGGTGCCAGGAACCTGACAGTGTGAGTGGTGTGATGTACATATATATAAAACTTTCTAGACTGCTGTACCAGCATTCTGTCTTACATAAAGTGCTTAATTTTATTTATGTTTAACATTCAGTTCTCATAGAATACTGCACAGTGGTCTGTGGAAGGTTATTTATGGGATCTTACTTAACATCTCTTACTGATGCAGTGCCAGCTGGTTTGCAGCATATCGTTTCTCAAAATTCTTCTAGGTCTAAAATAAAAAGTGGTAATTGGTTTCTTCCAGTGACCTTGTCTGAGCTATAAGACTAATAATCAGCATGCTGATGCATTGAAGTGATTTGATTGTGTTGTCATGCTCTTCCCATTTCTGACACCAACAATATATCCTTCAGGTTTGGCACTAATGCACTTCATACAGTACCAAAATCTAGTGCAGTTTCAGTTCTGACATTTTCATATGTGGAAACTGTCAGTAAAGATGAGGAGAGCTCCTAGCTCATAGGTGTCTGTAAATGAAGAGTTTGGGGACCTTTTCACAAAATGCCACTCTTGAGATTATTTTTCTGACCAAAAATCTACTTGTGACCAGGAACAGAAGATGGGGTTGAAGAGATGAAATACACGTTTTTACCAGTTTTCTAAAACTACAAGTTGCTGGGTTTGGTATGAGTGAACAAGAACAGAGAAGGCAGGGTGAAAGTCTTTGGAAAAAGCGTCACAAATAAAATATTCTGTATAATGGGGGAAACTTGTTACCACAATACTTTGGGAAAATCTCTTTTAAAGAATCTAATATGATGACTCTGTTGTACCTCTACCAGGTATCCCATACTGTCATTTACAGAAGGGAATGTAGCTCACAGTAAGAAGTAGAGTTCATTTAAAAGTGTTCAGAATTCGACTTGATACACTGTACACTCCACATGCAATATGTTCACACATGCTGTCAGATATGCACATGCATCTACACATATGTGTACATGACTATATACTCACATATATATACATTTAAATTTAAGAACAAAAATACTTCATAAATATATAAAAGGTGGAAGAGAAGTAGGGATTCTGATACGTGGTATTAATTTTGGATCTTGTTGAATCTACTCAAGGCCTGTGAATTTTTAGCCAAATTTGATAGTAATTTATAGAACAGTATGGTATGGGAATCCTTTAATAACAGACTCATTGATACAAGCAGTCTTATTCTAATAGCAGCTTAGTTATGATATTGTTCTTTTAACATTTCTGTTTGAAGCTCAGGATTGTCTGCAATTATTAACATAGAGCAGATAATTGGATACAGCATATTTTACTGTTCAAGCTCTGTAATCTTAAATTTTACTGAAGCTTTATAGTTTAACCAAACAAACGCAAATCTTAGATAAGATTACCAAGCTGCCATGTGAGAGGCAGGGTTTTTGTTTGTTTCAGGTAGAACAGCCAGTTTAGCACATAATCACAACTGGCTACCTAAAAGCAAAAAACAGTAGGTTGAAAGTAAAGTTAACTATGCTTAGCTTTATCCTTTGCAAACAGTATAATGATTGCTTCTGTGCACGATAGTCAAGCTACTGAAAACTAGTTCACATGCTAACTTCATACTGGGGGCTAAGAGAAAGAGGGTGAAGATTTGAACTTGAGTTTTTACGTATTTGGGTATAATGATTTGGATTTATGCCTCATTGAGACAAATTTTTTCTATACTATTTCCTTACTCTTTGGAAGAGTTCAGAAAAAATGTAGGTTAATTAGAGAGCAGTTTTAACACAAATGAATCATTAAAATGGCAGGAAATGCACAAAGTACTGTAACATTTCCAGGACTTACTTAGGTCTGCATGCATGTTCTTAAACCTTATCTCTATCAAAATTCAGTTTGAAAGAACATCAGTGTCATCTCTTACTGGAATCACTGTTTCATATTTTTGGACTCTCTTCAGTATAAAAAAAAAAAAATCTTGGTGCATTAGGCACAGACAGCACTCACCTAAATCTAAACAGAAGATCTGATAAATTATAAAACTTCATTAAGCTGTTATCAGGCCAGATATTGAAATGTATTCATAAAAGCTTGCATCTGAGGCAAAAAGGTGATTTTTTTTTTTGTTGTTGTTGAAAGTTGTACTATACTGGACATTATTTCTGCAAGACATCTTAAGATAAACCACTCTCTCCAGCTCTCCATCCCTTCAGTAACTTGGATCACAAAGAAATCTTGAACTACTGGAATAATGCTGCTCATAAAAGAAACTGTTTTTCACTTCAGTTAATTATCCTTGTTGTCTTTTTTTGTGTGTTTTTTTTGTTTGTTTATTTG